CAATTTAAGATCTGGAATGGCTAGGCCACCTTCCCCTGCATTTCTTTTCATTAGTTCCCTTGATATTCTGGACCTTTTGTTCTTCCAAATGAATCTTGTTATTATTTTTTCTAACTCTATAAAATAGTTTTTTGGTAGTTTGGTATGGCACTGAATAAGTAAATTAGCTTAGGTAGAATTGTCATTTTTATTATATTAGTTTGGCCTACCCATGAGCAACTGATGTTTTTCCAATTATTTAGATCTGATTTTATTTGCATGAAAAGTGTTTTGTAATTGTGTTCATAGAGTTCCTGGGTTTGTTTCGGGAGGTAGACTCCTAAATATTTTATAATGTCTACAGTAAGTTTAAATGGAATTTCTCTTTCTATCTCTTGCTGTTGGGCTTTGTTGGTAATATATAGAAATGCTGATGATTTATGTGGGTTTATTTTACATCCTGCAACTTTGCTAAAGTTGCTTATTATTTCAAGTAGTTTTTTACTTGATGCTCTGGGATTCTCTAAGTATAACATCATGTCATCTGCAAAGAGTGATAGCTTTGTTTCTTCTATTATTTTTTTCATTTATTTGATTCCCTCCAATACTATAGATTGACATTCATAAAACACTGCTTTCAGCATACAACATTTCTGTACACAAAAACTTACAATGTTACTCTTCTGTCTACTGAATTGAGTTCATTCTTTGCCTAACTTCCATGGCCTCCATGATATACCACTACCCTTTCTAACCAACTTATTTCCTATTATTTCTCTACATTCAAACTTTGCCTTAGCCAGTCATTTTCCTCTTTGTCTGAATGGCCATTCAGCTTTATTCCTTTTGTTTATACTATTTCGATCACTTACAATGCTCCCTTTCTTCTGGAAATCTAAATTTTACCAATCAAGGTGCAGATTGAATACAATTTCTCTTGTCTCTTGTGTTCATATTTCATGTATTCTACCCAGCTCTGTTTTATTTTTTATCCAGGAATGCCTGAAAGTCCTCCCTTCTATCATAAGTCTACTTTTTCCTCCCATAGGCTTACATTCAGTTTTTACGATATTACTGTTAAGTGGAATCCTTTGCCTTTTAGAATACTATGTTCCAAAATTTCTCTTCTTTAAAGTGGTTTCAGCATAATTCAGGGGGTAGAGTGAGTCCACTATTCAGGTAAACTTCCCCCTTTATGTTTTAGGCTTATATAATCATTCCATTTTTTTTTCCTTGAAAACTCTAATTTATTTATTTTTTATCTTTTGCTTTATTTCTTTCAATCATTTTTGGAGTCCTTGTGGCCAAGCCATTATTTACTACAAGGTTTTACTTGTATTTGTTTTAGAGTTATTGTCATCTTCTGGGATTATCTTTTGGGCTTCTCTTACTCCATAATAATTTTAATGTAATTTGCAGTTTTATTTTCTTTACCCAAACCATTAGCCTCAATTCCTAGATTAGAATTTTGGTTCTATAATCTCTGTAATATACATATTGCAGTTGTTGTATTTCTGGATGAGGTGGCTGGAACCAGGTTTTGCCCTTTTTTGCAGGCTTATGAACCTGTTTCCTTGTAGTGTGAGTGCTGACCTCATCCCATCTCTGTCTCCTCACCCATGTATTATCCCTAGGTCTGTTGGATGTTGGAATTCAGGCTGGTCCTAGGCCTCCTAGAAGGGTCCCCAGAGCATGAGCTGCCTGGGAAATGTTCTGGCCCTTTCTTCTCTTGCAAGGCCCCCAGGAACAGGTGCAATGACAAGACTATCTCGTGGACAAGTGACTAGGTGCTAGTTCTGTTCCTCACTGTGGTTCCAAAAGATCAAAACTAAGATTGCACTGACTTCAGACTCAGTTATATGAAACTGACTTCTCCTTCATCCCCACAGACGATCCCTACTCCAAGCACTTGCAGGCTTCTGGCTACTTTCTTGTGGTAATAATAATAATATCATTTACATAGCACTTTAAGCTTTACGAAATGTTTTACACATAGTATCACATTTGATCCTCACAACAACCCTATAAAGTTGGTGTTATTATTATAATACCCATTTTACAGATGAGAAAACTGACTGGAAGAGGTTAAATGACTTGTCTTGGATAACACAGCTACCAAGTGTCTGAGAAAGGATGTTAACTTCCTGACTCTTGAGTCCAGTCCTCTTTCCTCTGCGCTACCTAGTTGTCATTTTGTTCAGTCCTGGACTGGATGAAACTGATTCCTGGTGTTTCTCTTTAGTTTTCTTGATCATTGCTTCATCTACTGCCATTTTAAATATTTACTAGCTTGTTTGTTGAAAGGACTGGAATTCCCCAGATCATTTCACTTCCAAGTCTTAACTAGAAGCCCCCAACAACCTTCCCATGAAGGCTTCTTTGTCCATTGTAGCATATACTGATGTTGTTGCATTTTTGCTGCTATTGCATTGAGAGTCAGTACTATGTTAATTAGCCTTTAATTATGCTCTACTTATTTTACATGTACTACTGTTTTTCTCCATAATTATATTATAAGTGCCCTGTCAAGAGTGAATATGTATACATACACACTCACACACACATTTTTCTCATAGTACCTAGCGCAGGGTTAAATACTTAGTAGATTCTCAATAAATCCTGATGATTAATCAATCAGCATTTATTGATTGAATAATCAATGTTCCTAATTTAATTGATGAATAGTATATTATTTATTTATACCTTTTAAAAAATACTAACAGTTACTTTAAAAATTCTTGTCTCAACTACATTCTTTCTAATGGGTCAGAAATCTATTGTCCTGCTATTGTACGGCTGCATATTATATAGCTATAGATGTATCTTGCTTTATGCCTTCTAAAAAGTTGACTATTCAGCATTTCTGTAATTCAGAGTTCCATTCACTATTGGCTCCACCCCACCTCTTTTCCTGTGGTGGGGAGGGGAGTTTATAGTCTCTTAAGAAACAATCATATTTCTATCCTAGTTGTATCGAACCCCAGATCAGGAGCTACCTTGTGTTACAGCTCTTTCCTGATTCCCCAAGTGTTAATAATCTCACTTTCCCAAGGTATATTGTGTGTATGTATGTATGTATGTGTGTATGTATGTGTACATATATGTATACACACATATGTACGTATGTATGTATATTATTTTCCCCTAGTAGAAATATAGGACTACCTCCTCTCTTCTTTTTGTCTTAGAATTACCCTCCTCCAACACCTAGTATAGTTTCTTGCTCATACTAGCTACTTAATTGAATTTAAATTTCAGTAACATGTTCCATGATAGAAGTTGTCCTCCAAAATGACCCAGAGTATATTTCCAAGACACTTTAAATAATTTAAATCTCTAAAGAATTTCAAAAATGTAATATAGACAGGTTATGTCTCCTCTCCAATCTACCCCCAATTCCCCTGATTTTCAGAACTCTGTGAAAACAGAAAGAAAAAGAAATATAGTATAGAGTCAAGAATCTGCCTAGCACTGGTCAGTCATGACCAGCAGGTCATTTCTAGAGAGGAAAGAGTTCCTTTTCAGTTGAATTTCAAATGAAGACATTGATTATCACGTAGGTAAATACTCTTCCATTCAATACACATTTGTCAAGAAATGTGGGAGGGAAAACTGCAGAAAGAGTCAGAGTTTTATACTTTACACAAACATGCCCTCCCCAGAGGAAGATTTTCTTTATACTTCCCTCTACCATAGAAAGAAATAATAAAATTCATAACTTTCTTTCATTCCTTGTGGTGCTTCTGGACACATGAGATTAAATAAGTCCAACATCCGACAGCAATAATATCTAATCCATGGCTTTTCTAGGTCCCTAAAGATTTCTTTTCTGCATTTTCATAAGTCTGGTAGTGCCTGAACAACCTGAATTTACATTCCTACCAAAAGCCAGCACATTAAATGTAAATGGTTCTTTTTCAAGTTCAGTTTTGTTCCCAGTCATCCACAGCTGCTTATGGCAAGTTGTATGACCTTGTCATTTGGTATCAGGCCTTCAGAGAGTCACTAATGAAGGGTCTTTACAACTCAGTATTGGTCAAGCAGAAATTTAGCAAGAAGTTTCTCTTCATTCATACTAAGTTGGATAATAAGATCTTTTGCTTGATAGACCATAATAGTTAACATTAATCATTAGAAAAATACTAGTATGGTTCACTTCTCCTTCCACTCAACAGATTAAACCTGAGAGTATGCTGCAGGCCATCTACTTGTCTGAACAAAGTAGTTTTCCTCTGTACCACTGTACAACTAGCTCTTCTAAGTTAAGGAGTAGAAAGGAAAAGCCTCCATTGTTATAAACTGGAAGTTTAAAGATCACTACAAAAGTGCTTTCATTCTTCAAAGTACTCCTTTCCAATTGATTTGACTCTACCATCTTCCCCCGCTTAGAAATGCTATTAGGATTATTTTGGGGGAAAGGGGTTCAGAGAATTGATTTATTTTTTCTTTTGGGGGAAGGCAATCAGGGTTAAGTGACTTGCCCAGGGTCACACAGCTAGCAAGTGCTTGAGGCTGGATTTGAACTTAAATCCCCCTGACTCCAGGGATGATGTTTTTTCCACTGAGCCACCTAGCTGCCACCAGATTCCAATGGTGTTGAGAACTCTTAGCTCCCATTTGACCAATGCAGAGCTGCAACTTTTCTGCAACTTATAAGCATAATGATAAGTATGTTAGAGAGGATGTGTCAAAAACAGAGCTTGAACTCAGATATTTCTAACTCTGAGGCCTTCTTCCCATATATTATATCATGCTATATAACTTTAAAGATAGAAGTTTTTATCCTTGCACATTATTTCAATCTCCACCCTTTTTATAATGGGGTCTCCTTAAATCTCATTGTGAAAGTTACCAAGCATTTAGCTATGAAACTTCATTAACTATGAGATCACATTTCTTAAGACTCCCAAACAAGTCATCTTTCATCTTTTTTTTTTGCTCATCTTTCATCTTTTGAAAAAGAAAAAAAAGTGGGGAGGTGGGGAACAAATTAAAAAAAATTATCATAAAAAGTTACATACCAATTGCTGTCATGTAATCCCAGCGGTCTATGAGGCACATGTTAAAGATGAGGTGGTCTGATGTTCGCCCCTGTCCGATGAGTGAGATGTGCCTCTCCAAATTTTGGCAGACAGCTGAAGTCCAACCAACGAGAAACCAAAATACTATCAGGAGAATTACTGCCAGCATTCTCATGACCCGGCCGCCAGTCATATAGGGGATACGTTGAGCTGTCCGTGAAAGGAAAACCTTCAAAACCCTGGAAAAGCAAATGATAGGAATCTTACAGGGTAACCTGTGTAAAAAATGAAGACATTGAGTGGCACATAGTCTTTCTAGAGGAAACTAGGACTATGGGATTTAAAGCTGAGAGAGATCTCAGCACTCTAACTTCATTCTGTTAGAGGAGAAAATTGAGACCAAAAGAGGCCAATTGACTTGCCCAAGGTCATACAACTAACTAATAAATAGCAAAGCCAGAGTTCAAACTAGGGTTCTCTATCTCCAAATCTAGTACTGTTCCTGGTGTATGCTTGGCTACTTAAAAAAACCAAGGACCATCTCTTCTGAAGAAGTTTGCTGTTGCTACTTTTTAATGCAAGTAAGATGAAATGTTAAGACAGATATATCTTATTACATTTCATTTTAATTTATTTTCTAATAATGAAATAGAGTATCTTTGGGGAAATTTTTCAAGTATGTCACAGACTCCTTTTAGCATGTTTTGATTCTTTAGGGGAAAATACCAAGAACTTAGACAAATCTGCAGGCAATTATTGATACTTAGACAAATCTAGCCTTTTTATGTTGGGAATATTTTAAACAAATGAACATCACTTTTCTCATGCACACAATTATATGCTACCCCTAGCCCTTTGGTCCCATTTTTACTGCAGTGGTAGTATATTCTGAGCTTTCTGAAATTCATTCAAAATCTCCTCCTTCAAGAGCAGTTTACATTATTGCCAAAAAACAATTATGAAAACAGTCAATGGTCTATTTAAACACTAGGTTTATGTATTAGACTATAGCATTAAGGAGCTGTACTGAGTCAGCACATAGATAATTGGGTCTCTTTTCTGGGAAAAGTTCTTCATTCAATTTAAGGAATGATTTGGTTATGTTACCAAAAGACTCATCAGGATCCTTCATTCAAAAAACATCAAGTCTCATTTTCCAGATGCCATTACTTCTCTAGTCCCATTCAGTGCAGAACAAAACATAGCCTCTTAGGCCAGCTGTTCTGTCTCCTGAACACACCAGACCTATGAGTCACAACAACCCAACCTGCATCTCTTTCCCTAGAGACTCAGCCAGATACCTCACAATACTCAGATGGGGGAGTGAAACCACAGAGAAATCAGGTGAAAGAGATGAGGAGGATCTGTAGACACTTTACAATTATAACATTTGAAGTGTCTTAACAAGGTTATGTTTATCCACTATTGGCAAATTAATAGATTGTGCCTTTGTTAACTCTACTGTACTCAGCTCAATGGTTTATCTTAAATGGTGGTTATAGGTCATGAAGGGATGGATGCTAGCTCATCAAAATGGTATTTATCAAGTCTAAGAAAATTATGTTTTGTTAGTCATTTCTGTGTTCTTAGGTTTATTGAACGTTCATTTTGTGGAATAATGAAGTAATTATAACTAGCATCTTACATGTATCATTATATTATTTATTCTTTAGCTATTAAAGTTTGTTTGAAGTTAAAAGCTACCGAATGTCTAAAAGGGGCCTTTGTCCTTCTCCAAATTGTCTTAACATTTTGTACTTCTTTGATGCAGTTATCACACTCTACTTTGTACTGATTTCTTTGTGTATATTTTTCTTATTACTCTTACGAGACCATGAAAGTGGCTGAAATCTGAATTTCATGGGAGCAATCCCCAGGGAACCATCATATCCCCCCAAGTTTTCTCTTCTTCTGGCTAAATGTCCCTAATTCCTTCAACTGATTCTCCTATCACATGAACCGTGGGCCCATCACTACTCTAATTTGTCTCCACCGGCCACTCTCAGGTTTGTCAACGTCCTTCTAAAATGTGGCGCCCCAAAATGAAAATAGTAGTCCAGAGGTAGTCTGACCAGGGCAGAGTATCAACCAATTAACAAATATTTCTTACTATGTACTTACTTACTCTGTGTTCAGTACTAGACTAAATACTACGGAGGAAGTGCAGAATAATAAGTATTAGACATGGCCCTTGCCCTCAAAGAACTTACAGTCTAGTTAGGGGTGACAAGAATGACGCATGAGAAATAATAGGAAGGAAAAGAAGGAAAAAGAATGTGGGATGAAAGAGTTCTTGCCAGTTCTGGTGTACAACATTGCATAGAGAAAGGAGCAATGGAACCTCTCTGTCTCCTCCAAACACAACAGTGTGAGATCTGTCAGTATACAAAGCAAATGCACAGGGATGTCGGGGGTGCAGGACAGTGCTCTGGGCCTACCTGCTGCCTTCAGTCGTGATGGAACAAAAGTGTTGCCAGGTGGCAGTTAGCACATCTCACACAGAAAAGACCTGGACTCTAGCAACAGTCTTGCCACTAACTAGTGATATGAATCAGTGAGTCAGAGAAGGGATCCTAAAAAATGCCTAGTCTGACTCCTTCATTGAATAAACAAAGAGGTCCAGTAGACCTGTGTTGTCTCCAAAATGATAGGAGGAGTCAGTAGCAAATGTAGAAACAGAATTGAAGTTTTTGGACTCGTAGTCTAGAACTTTTTCCTTTACCCACACCACTTAAGAGCTCAGAGGCTCAGGTTTCTTACCTGTAAAAGTAGGATAATACCTGCCCTGCTTATGTCATAAGATGGTTGCGAGAATCAAATGAATTAGTATTACAAATGAATTAGTATTAGTATTATTAGTATTAGAGTTGGAAAAGGACTTTAGATATCATCTAGTCCAATTCCTTCATTTTATAGTTGAAAAAACAGAATCAGAGAGAGGAAGTAATTCTGCTGAAAGACATGCAACTATTAAATGATGGAGCCAGGCTTTGAACCCAGGTTTCTGAATCTTTTAACTCTAAGTCAAATATTCCTCTATTCACATGGTTCCTTGGAAAATTAAGTTGAAACCTATAAAATATGAAAATATAAGATATTATCTCCAAAATGGCTTTGGGTTATATTAGTAAATAATTTCCAGTGCCCTCACTGTTCTACCCAGATTGTTTTATAAGGACTTGTTTAAGATTTGTTCTTTTAACATCTGATTTCACCTTTGTATTCCTAGGAGCTACTACGGGGCCTTGAACATAACTAGTATTTAATAAACTTCTGTTGAGTTTGAAAATCATTGGTCATAGAGTTTCGGAAGGTTTGGAAAATTCTTGTATATGTTTGCTTTATCCTTTAAAAAAAACAAATCTCTTTTTTCACCTTCATCCCCAGGGGGCACTGTTGGCCCTCTCTAAGTCACTGCTCTAGTCTTTCATTTCTACTGACTACCTCCATCATTTCTCTTACCCTCCTAGTCAGTTCTCTCCTCCCCTCTCCCTCCACACTCTTCCCTTGCAAAGTGGTTGCCATTTATACTCTTCTTTACTTCCATTTCTCCCTTCCTTTCTCAATTGCTTCCCTAGACTCAGCTCTGTTTTGATGGGCCTCTTAATCATAGGAGTAGAAGAGGCTGAACCTTCACAAAAGATCAGAAATTAGCTCTTGAAGATGTGTTAAATGTCATCTTGCCTAATGTCCTTATCATATAGACAAGGAAATTGAACCCCAGAAAAGGTTAACTTATTTGTCCAAGGTCTCTGCCCTCCAAAATTACCTCTCATTTTTCTAATTTCATTAAGATATTCTATTTGACTGATCCCAAAAATGGGCCTCTTCTTGCCTACCTAACAACTTTGAGATCTGCTAACGGAGAGGGTGGTACCTGTTGCCTTACCCACCTGATTTTGCCCATTGCTTTAATTTTTCAGATAAGAAATTGTGATTTGAGGTATATCTTTGTGAACATAACAGGCTTTTAAAAAGAAATACTTTTTTCCTTATAACTTTTCTATTTCCCTTCAGCACAAAATAAATTGCAGTTTTCTTTCCCTTTTCCTATCTCATAATATCTACAAAACTATATTCATTTCCTCTCACAAAAATCTCCAGAAAGTCAAAGTCATAAATGGCTAGGGCTTTGATATTTACATCTGCAATATTTTCTGTGTGTAAATCTCTACCAGCAGAGATTGAAACCTCCAGTCTTGTCCCCACCCCATGCTTTCTCATATTTTAAAACTCATCTTTCCATAAATCTTCCATAAAGAATTCACCACACACCTTGGGGGTCTTCCTCTTATTGTTTTAATATTAAATGCACAACCGCCCAATACACTCATCATCCACTTGTTCTCTCTCTCCCTACCTGTCAGTCTGATCTTAGGAATCTTTGTAAAGTCCCTTTCAATTCTGAGATATTGTGATTCCTGGATGATTTTTTTTAAAAAAAAACTTATGTTAATTGTCCTTAAGATTAAATATAAACCTTCTCACTGGAATTTAAAGTCCATTAAAATTTGGCTGCAGTCTACCTTTCTAAATTTATTTCATATTACTCTCCCTTATATACCTGGAGTTCTAGTCAAATTGGGTTGTATGCAGCTCCCCCTGTATGATATTTGATCTCTCACTGCCAGATCTTTGCAATAGAATGTATAAACAGACCATGCCTAGAACATTGTCCCTCCTTATCTTGACCTTTTGGAATCCTGAATATCCTTCAAGGCATTCATGCTACCTCTTACATGAGGAATTTTTCTTCTCCTATCCCTTGAAATTAATTTGTTTTAACTTTCTACATCTTTTTTTTAACTTACTTGTATTTGAACACATTTTCTTCCCCAAGTAGAGTGTAATCTTCTTGACATTATTTTGTTTTTGTCTTCAAATCTCCAGCATTTATCACAGTGCCTAATGCATGGAAGAGCTTAATAGTTGTTTGTTGAATTGAAGGGATATAAAATTTTGGAATCCCATTTGGATTTTGTATAGGAATCCTCCATGACATTGGCAACTACTCTAAGGAAGCACGTCTCCTTGGTTTATGCCTTGCTTGATGTAATGTACGTACCAACCAAACTGGTCTATTTACTGTTCCCTGTACACAGCCGTCCATCTCTGGGTCTCTGCACTTCGCACAAAATGTCTCTGCTAACTTCATGTCTAGAATGCACTCCACTCTTACCTTTACCTCAGAGAATCCCTAGCTTCTTTCAAAGCTCAGCTAAAGTGTCATCTCTAACAG